CCCCCCCCCCCCTTTTCCATGCTGTTTCCCCTAATCCTCCAAGGTCTACCCATTCCTGGCTGGCTGTCTCCCTCCTCTAGCATCCCTTCTCTGTGAGCAGCGTCTCAGGCTGCTGAACTCTAACTGACCTCGTCTGAATGTCCCTGGCTTACGCTCCCAGGATCCAGCTCTCTGTTTACAACAGGCCCAAATGGCCCAGTGCGTCACTGATTATGAAGATGGGAATGTGATGCTCCCTCCAGGGTGAGAAGTTTCTACTCTAATAGTGGTCTTCCTGAAACCATGCCTCAGCCCAATGCAGCACTCAAGTGGGAATTTCAGGTTTCACAACAGGCAATCTGCAGGATTCATTCTTAGATGGTGGGGTCTTCTGACATCCCTTAGTGAACAAAGGCTTGCCTTGCCAATGCATAGAGGCAGGCCTGAAAGATATGATTGATGCCAATGAAAATTACCATTCTTTGGACTCTGCCCCAGTTGAGGTGGGTCACAAATAGATATGACTTATCTTTGCCAAGGAAAAAACAGCAGTTACTTTAAAAGACACTTCCATTTAGTTGTAATCTAATAACCTCTGTTTTGAATAACCTGCAAGAAGCAGATCAGACAGTGGTCATAAAAATCTTCTCTAAAACAAATTATGTACGTGTGTATACGAATATTCTCTCTTTCTCTCCTTGGGGAAACTTACTGTATCCCACTTGGTATCAGACTCTTCATCTGTACATTTAGGACTGCAACCTACCTTACAGGGTGTTGGGTGGATTAAATAAAATAATGTATATAAAGTGTCTTGTCCAGTGTCCTGTATGTTAAGTATTTTCTCTCCTCTTTTCCCCTGATGATTTGTTATCTAGCTGGTGTGCTAGGAAGTGACCAAACTTTGAATGTCTTTGAAAGGTACCCCTGTTGTTTGGAATGAGAATACCAGACAGCAGTGACGTCATTTTGATCAGGATATACCCAGATGACCCGATTGCAGACTTCCACAGGTCATTCTGCAAAAAACATCAGTAAATGCCGAGGTCCCTAAATGTTAAGGGTTGCTGCTTTGAAATTAGATTTTCTTAGGTTTCCCACTCTACTGCTTCCCTTATTCCCACTCCAATCACAATAGTTATTGCCATTTGATTTTGATGTGATCGTTTGTTCATGACTTAAAGAAATTCAATCCTTTTTTACAGCAGGAAAAAAAAGATTATTAAAAAAAAAATTAAGGATAACCAAAAGAGTTAGAGCATGCTGCATTCTGGCCCCCACTTTCTCAGCTGTCAGCCTGCCTGCTCTAAACCGTCTGTATCATGGCTGGTTCTACATTTTGGGAGTTTCACCCTTGTTCCCATGAAGATCTGATCAGTGGGTATTTAAAGGATATCATTAGAACACTGTGATGGTTATTTATTATTTACTGAACTCTGCGAGAGCTATAGCCTACCTATCCCATATCTATAACCATTATCCACAGAGCACCAGGAGCTTTTATAGAAGTCCTAGGAAGAACGATGTAGAACATGCCTTAATTATTCCTTGTCATAAACAATAATTAAGCTATTTGTTTTCCAACTTTGGAAAGGCATTATCTTCAAGAAAGTGATGGATTGGATTTTCCATACTTTGTTAAGTTCCCTGCATAACAAAATTACTCACTGGGAAAGCTCTGTCAGGAAATCTGATTATTTCTAAATTCATTTTATTGGTGTCCCTTGCTGCCCCCCACTCTTGCCTGATTCACCTAAATGGCATATGGCAATATCCAGTCAATATTAAAATATATGTCCAGAGGGAATCTCAGATAAGTATTGTGTAGGGGAAAAAATAAAAGATGAAATCATTCGTAAGACATTTGATAAGTACTGCTTCACTTCAAGGATCAAAAATTTGACTTGGCGCTATGATCAGGCTCAGTTTCTGCACTTGGAAAAATCCTCATTGCACTCGTGCTCAAGTGGGTTCATCTTTAGTAAGTTTAGTAGGTTGTGCCTGTTAGTGGGTACTCAGTTCGGCATGCTCTTGTACTCACCTATGAATCTTACGATCCTTCGGAGTAAGGGGTTCAGGTAACAGCATTCTCCGGTTAAAATTGTTTTCTCCTGGGCAATCAGAGATTCTCGGGTTGACTTTATGAAATACATGGATATCTCACCAATAAAAATCTGCAGAAGGAATGTTTAAGAAGTGTCAAGTTGGAGAGCTGTCTGATAAAAAAGACCAGTGGCTTCAAAAACAAAGACACCAAGAACTTCTGAGGGTCCACAATCCTTTTAAAAGATGTCATATTGGAGAGATGGAGAGTTGTTTTTCCTTTTTTTAAAAAAACTATATCTTTATTGATTTCAGAGAGAGGAGGGGAGAAGGAGAGAGAGAGAGAGAGAGAGGGAGAGATAGAAACATCAGTGATGAGAGTCATTGATCGGCTGCCTCCTGCACGACCCTCATTGGGGATCGGGCCCACAACTGGGGCGGGCATGTGCCCTGACCAGGAATCGAACCGCGATCTCCTGGATTCTAGGTCGATGCTCAACCACTGAGCCACGCCGGCCAGGAAGAGATGGAGAGTTTTTAAAGAATAGTTTGCACTGAAATCATTGAAAGAATTAGAGAAAGCAATAATTAATAATTTCAGGCTATAATATTAAATTCTAAGGTCATATAAAAAACATGTTAAAATAAAAAAAAGTAATAGAATTTATAAGGTTTACTCATGCTGGGATTGAATCTTTTGTAACTCAATATGTGAGTTGTAATACTGAGGAATGACTGGGGAAGCCAATGTCCCCAACAAGGCATTATATGCACATATCACAATATTACTACTTCATTATATGGCAATACTACCTTTATTTACATGATAAATCCTTATTTGAACATTTTGCCTGAGCTATATTTCTAGGCCTCTGAACGGGTTGACTGTCCCTGCTTCATGATTGGCACCTTCTCTTGTCTATTACCATTGAAATCATAATGCCTTTGCATAGACTGTAAGCTCCCTGATGACAGAGACGGCATCTTATGTTTCTTTGTTATGCTCATAGCACCCAGCACAAGGTATTCCATTTAAAATAAGGAACCAGCGCCCTAGCTGGTTTGGCTCAGTGGTTAGAGCATTGGCCTGCAGACTGAAGAGCCCTGGGTTCAATTCCAGCCAAGAGCATGTACCTTAGTTGCAGGCTCAATCCCCGGAGGCAACCAATCGATGTGTCTCTCTCACATCAATGTTTCTCTCTCTACCTCCCTTCTGTTCTCTCAAAAGCAATGGACAAAAATATCCTCAAGTGAGGATTTAAAATAAATAAAATAAGGAACTAGCATGTGGCAAGTTGTCACCAACTCTGATGCTGTCACAACTGAAGACAGAGAACCATCAATGAAGAACAGAAAGCTAATAGTTACCATCATCTATTGGAAACTGGGAGCCGGGCACTGTATCAGCATTTTTTCATGCGCGCAGATCCCCAGCGCAGGTGTTATTAGTCTCGCTTTCACAGCGAAGCATGAAAGGTCAGCGAGTTAAGTAACTGAACCCAGAGCACACACTGGCACATGCGGCACTGGGATGGGCACCCAGGACAGCCGGGTGGCAAACTCCACACCTCCCACCACGTCATATGCCAGTTTTATTTTCCTAATCCCCTATTTCAACATTGCCCCAGAAGAATGTGATCTTGTAGATGCTCTTCTTTGCTACGTAATCCTGGGGTTTCAGATAAACTCTACCAATGCTTAAGAATTCCCATGCCTTACATTCCCCCCCGTCACTATGAAGTATCTGTTTAGATGAATTAAAATAACAATATCATGAATGGCACATGAGTGATGGAAATTAAACTATAGAATTTTAAAATTGGAATCATTTATAGATGTTTTCCATTTCCTTTTATAAGTGAGGAAATTGAAGATCCCAGGAACTTGACCATATACAGCCAGCCTGTCTGAAGCAGCTCTAGAATGTGGCCTCTAAGTAGACACTGTCATCCTGCCTACTGTACTGATAAGACACCTGAGGTATAGGGGGATTAGATAATTTGCCCAAGGCCATCAGAGCCAGTAGGTCACAAACCCCAGCTCTGAAGTCAGGAAAGCCCGGCTCCAGAGTTCTTCCTGTCAACCACTACACTTTTACTTACTAGTGACTCGGTAAAAACACCCATTGAATTTGTGTTTAATAATGAGAGCATAGAAAACAAAACTTGTTCAATGCAATATGCTTTAATCACTGAAAAACTCGTACACTACCAAAGTACAGGAAAGAACAGTGTAGCAGAAATAGAACTATAGGCAGTCAGAATGGGGTGGGAAGTCGGTAGAAATAGAGAGAAACCAGGGTCAGACAGGCAAACCACGGGCAGGTGCTGAAATAGTTTGTGCGTAACATCCCTTGGAATTAACAATGAGTTAATGAGCGCTGCCATGTGAAAATACTTGAATGGCTTCAAGAACTCAGCCCTCCCTCCTTGCCTGTAAGACCTATTGCTGCCAAAATAAGGTGCCGAGGGGCTTTGTCTGTCCCCACCGTTCACAACAGAGTGGCACCGCTCTTCTTTATCTTCGGGAACAGATGGGGATAAGTGCATGCGCTCCGGTACAGGAAACGCATTTCCTTGAGGGACCTCTCACTTCTTCTAAGACTAGCTCAGGCATTCTTGCTGGGCATGAATCTCTTACCTTGTGTGTCTCCTTTCTAGCTCTCATCGCAAGTAATTACACACTATTATTGTTATTCGGTTACGGGATGTCATCCCTCTTACTCTGTTGTATCCCAGGGGCCCAACCCAGGGGAAGGTACGTAGTAGTTAATCAATGCCGAATGAATTAAGCATGTCAGATTAATGAAGGTCTTTTGGAATATAGGTTTAATGGGGTAGATTATAAAAAAAGAAAAATGATTTCTATTATTTCTCATTCCAGGCCCACTGAAAATGTCACTGCTCTTTCCAAAGCTGTGCCAGCCCCCTCTCAGGAGAAGGGAGACACTGTCTTGTCATTGCTCCCACAACACATCATACAGATCTCTGTCCTGACACCTATCCGATTAATTATAGTTACTGCTTGTATGCCCCTCTTCAGTTGATTACAAAGTCCTTATGGGAAGGACTTTTGTCCTCCCTTGAATGGTGCCTAGAACAGGACCAGTATATAGCAGGCTCAATGAATACTTGCTGAATGAAATTCCCAATATGCACCAGTCAGCATGTATTTATCGGTGTATTGCTTAAGAAGAAATAAAAACCAGGGACCAAGTAACACAAAGTAAATGATCTCTTTTAAACTCGGTTCTCTCACACTCATTTCACACTCACCAGTTTTGGAAAGGGGTTTTTTCTAGCATTGGAGACACAGCTGTGAGGGTTGAGGGAATGACACAAACAAACAAACAAAGAGCCCATGTAATGTCATGAAATGATTAAAAAATAAACCAGGGAAATGGGGTGGAGAGTGATAAACATGAGGAAAAATAAGAAAAGAAATAAGCATTGCTTGCCACAGCCATTTCGGAAGCCGAAAACATTCTTACTGTATAGGAAAGAGCTGTGCAAATTCTAGAAGTTCTACATCCATCTATGCTTTCTACTACTCACACAAGAGGGAAAAAGCAAGATGTGTGAGAAAATCTATACACAACCTATTCTTGTTCAAAAGCACAAGTATACACGCACAAACTGAAACAAAATTACTTCAAGGCATAGCAGACCAAGTAGAATTTAGGCAAAAGGATATGGGGTCCAAACAAACCCGTAAGTAAAATGTCCCAGGACTCTCCTGTCAAAGTGATTAACAGTACAAAAAGTGTCACTAACGGACAACAATATTCAAATCACAAGTGAGATATGAAGCATAAAAGAAAAATTCAGTTACTGCCCTAATGCCTAGAATATATTAAGTCATCATGGATGTTTACAAAAGGGAGGAAGGAAAGAAGGAAGGAAGGAAGGAAGGAAGGAAGGAAGGAAGGAAGGAAGGAAGGAAGGAAGGAAGGGA